TTTGTTATATATCATTAGTAATCACCAACAATAATAATCGGCAGGGGGGTTGTATATCGATTGTAATTTAGGGGATTACTATCGATATATAGCACCTTTTAAATTTTGCTGATGTTCTCTCTGATGTCAAAAGCCTTTTCCATTTTCTAAATTAACATACTGATAACAATGTATGCAATTAGAGTCATTACATGGAATATTAGCTTGTACTGCTTGAACCGCTATTCATATTGTATGATGATTTTCTTTGTCACTAAGACCAAATGCCAATGGGGACCTATATCCGGCTTCATCCTCAATAACCATAGAAAGCACAGGTGCTTTCTCATTATTTAGATCGTACTTTTTGTCTATTCCAAAACAGAAAAACCCACAATCCCGGCCTTGTTGAAGCCATGTCTCATCGCTTACTATCAATAGGTAGTAATGTTCAGGGCAGTTTTCTGAAACAGAGGTATCATGACACTGATAATAAAGAACTTTTCTTTGCTCTTTTAATTCAGTAGTAACTAATTAATCTAAGATAATCCACAGTCCAGCATTTTCACATAATCGGACATTATCACGCTCAACTAATCATTTTAATTGTTGTTCAGTGCATATATTTTTATTGGTTTCACGCACATGTCTAAAGTGTATTGCACTTGTATTATTGTAAGGTGCCAATAATTTTAGTGCAATTTTTATGCCAGAACTATGGTGTATGCGGCATGCCATAATTGCATAGTCATGAGCTTGGAGACTAAGATTTATTCTTGATACTTTCGATTGTGATACCACAAGCATATGTTGCGATCTATGTGTCTCTTCAACAAACAATTGTACTGGAAAGAGTTCCTCAATATCTGAAAGCATAACCTTAATAATGATTCGTACAGCACACTTGTGTGTATCAAAATCATTTTTCAAATTATTGTTTAAAAAAAAATTTGGACATTCTCGCTTACTTTTCTCATCTTTTTCTTTTTCGTTCTTTTTTTTTGTTTTCACTTTTCTTTTTTATTTTAGTTTCTTTTGTTCTTTCCTTTTTT